CTGTATGGCTTCTGGTACTCCTTTGTGATCTAGCACCTTGATCCTGACAAGGGTTTGCTAAGATGCAGAATGTATGACAAAGTTGCACTTTTGGCCATCCAGCTTTCCTGTCATATAGACACTATGTGTGCTTGCCATTTTACACTTAGCTGTTGGGACTTTCACAATGGTGGTTGGTGGGCGTCCCTCAACACCAACCACTACTGGTTTCCCGAAGCTGACTTATTGGTAGTATTTTTCATTTTTCTTACACTGGCTCCTCATATGTCCTTGCTCCCCACAGTTCCAACAACCTTTCTGGATACTAGCCTATCCTGCTGTGGCATCTCCCTTGTGTTGAAGTTGCCGGCATTGAGCTCTCTTGTACCCAGGTTTGTTACAGTGCCAGCAAAGTCCCTCAAACCTCTCTGAAAGCTGACCTTTTCTGGCCTTAAATCCAGATGACTGTACCAACCTCGGTACCTCTGTGCTGGACTTAACGTAGGATTCAAATTCGAGAGCTCTGGCCATTGCATCCTACATGGTAGAGGGGTGTGCTTGCTTCACTTGTATCTTAAGTTGTGGACTGTCCAAGGCATCTACGAACTGATCCCGCAGCAACAACTTGAGGAGATCGGGTGATGCAGTTGGGTAGGCCTTGTGTGCCATACTTTTCAAATCCTGTGCCAGCTCTTGCAGGCTCTCCCCTTTAGCATGGACTCTAGTTCTAAACCTAGCCCTGTAGACTTCAGACTGATTTTGAGTTCCATACCTGAGCTCTAGAGCACCTACCAGTGCTCTATAGTTGTGCCTGTCATCTGCTGACAACTGTCCAAGTATTTCCGGTGGTTGTCCCTTCAGGCTCGTTGCCAGGTACACTGCTTTCTGCTCCTCCGTCCACCCATTCATTTCTGCCAGGAGCTCAAATTGTGCTTTATTTGCTTCCCATGGTGCCTTCCTATTGAATTTCTGTGGCTTCATTCGTACTAGATCACCCCTATTGCTGACACTCATGTCTGAAATATGACTTCTGGCAGGACTGAAGATGTGTGCATTAGGGTTTAGCTGCAGGGTCTGAAAGGGGCTTCCTGTTGTCGGGGGCTCATTAGGTCCATGGCTAATATATCCTCCCTGTGTAAAATATAATAAATCGTTCTTTAGTGTATTTAATTCACTTTGACATTTACTAATCTTTTCCATTTATACTTCTTGTTTCCTTTCTTTTTCCAGTTGCCACTGGTGTTGGTTTTCTTGCCACTGCTGTAGTCTCTATTCTTGTTCATTTTTTTTCTTCTCCAACCACTGCTGTAGTCTCTTTTCTTGTTTATTTTCTCATTCTTCTTGTTTCTTTTCTTTTTCCTTCAACAACTGTTGTAATCTCTCTTCATGTTTCTTCTGCTGTTCTTGTATTGCTGCCATCAAATATGCTAAGTCGTAGTTTGATTTGCCACTTCTCGTTTCCATCTTTCTCTCTCTTTTTTTTCTTTCAGTCCCATTCTCTGACACCAATTTGTTACATATCTGCTTGTTTGATAATTTTCGGTAA